TGCTACATAATGGGATCAACAAAGACTATGTCAGGAACCCAGGGGCTTCTCTGGGTTGCCTCGTAAGAACTTTTCCCCCCCTTGGTTCCAGGGATAGAATCCAGGGGCACTTAACCCACTGAGCCACATCCACAGTCCTTTTTATTTATTTATTTATTTATTTATTTTATTTTTGACAGGGTCTCTCTAAACTCTGAGGCTGGCTTTGAACTAGCAATCCTCCCACCTGAGCCTCCCAAGCCTCTGGGATTATAGGCATGCACCACCATACCCAGCAAGACTCTCATTTAATAGTAAAGTTAATAAGCAAGCCAACTCCTAAGAACACAGCCTCTTCAGAATGAAGATTCGGCTACTCTACAAGGTAAGAAACCCTGACAACTGAAGTGCAGGTCAGAGCAAAGAAAAATCAAAAAGAAGAATTTATAAATACCAAGTAGTTTCATGACCAACTAGAGAAAAAAAAAAGTAACAAGGTAACTATCCAGATTTGCTGCATTGCTTTTTCTATGTCTTTGTATATAGTAACTATTTTTTTCAACCCCCTGTCCCCTATCACATTATATAAGGAGTGTAGGTGGTTGTTGAATATATTAACAGGTTATAGACTATCCAGGTGGGACTGTGAGTAAACTATAATTAATGCTAATAAAATTAACAGTAATTGGTATAAATTTTGTTTCTCCCTTTTTGAGGGAGAAGGTGAGAATTTCTTCTTTGCACAAAAGAGGAGGCAGGCATGGTGGTGCATGCCTATAATCCCAGAGACTTGGAAGGCTAAGGAAGAAGGATCACAAATTCAAGGTAAGCCTGGGAAATACAGCAAGACCCTGTCTCAAAAAACACATGTATAATAAAAAAGGGACTAAATAATGATAGAAGCACAAACCGTTATTGATAAATAGAAATTTAAATACGTGTAGAAGAGTGTGTAGATGCTTGATAGCTAAAAAGGAGGGTTGTGCTGGTTACTTGCTATGGGTATGGGCTGGTGAGATGAGCTGGGAGCTGGGTTCAAAGGAGCTGGCTGTATAATTAACTAAGAAAATGGCGGGGGAAAAAACCCCACACAGCACACGAACATGAGTTTCTAAGATCGAGGGCAGGATGGCTCTGCGACCTTAACAGTCAGCTCCATGCTGGGTGGCGCTGGAAAGGGAACAAGATAGAGAACACACTGGGAATCCCTGTATCTATTAGGGAAAAGACATTTGATAGACTATTCCACCCAAATAAGCAAAGGATAGGGTTTTGAAAGGTGGATTCTTGCTTTGTGATGTCTTGTGGTCAGCAGATTGACATCTTGGCAAGTCACACCCATCTCAGGTGCTGTGTGGGATCACAGGCAGAATGAGAGGAAAGGCACATTTACATCGAACAGCCCAATCAATGCACAACACCAAACCAGTCCTCTCATATCATTCAAACGCACATAGCTCACACACACAGTCCAAGGTGGCTCGCGACACCCTCCCACCCACCTTCACACACAAACACATGCACACATCCATCCTCCTACAGCTGTCTTCCTGAGGTTGGGTTTCTAAAAACTATATTTCCCAGACCTTGTTGCTATAGTGGAAATAGGGCTATCATTCCAAATTTCAACAGAGCAGGGGGAGAACCTATTGAGAAGTTTAGCTCTGGTCCAAGCAGCATGTGAGCAAATCTATAACCAGTTAGAATGCTCTTCAGCAGTGCAACAGAGGGCACAGGCCTTAGTAGTTTCTGAACTCTTAAGTGTACCACCCACTTCTTTCTTCTCTAATCCAGCCCCACCTTCCCATTAGCTCTTCTAGCATCTCTCATCTGTAATCCATGTCTATTTTTAAAACACTGTTTAAAGTACCTAGACTGGTTTCTGATTTCTTAACTGGATCTTAACTGATTAACCATTGTTTGAATGCTTGCATTTTTCAGTCCTATAATTTTGTTTTGTTCTTTGGTTTTATTCATATATACCATGTAATCTTTAATAATTTCAAGCTTGGTTTATATGTTCTTGAACTTAAGCATAACTCTTTCATGATCTATATCTGGTGATCCCAGCTTACCAGACCTAGAGTTCCTGCAGGTCTATTTCTATTGCCTGTTGTTTCTGCTGTTTCTCCCTATCTTATTTCTTCATGTATCCAATTACTTCAGTTTGTTGCACAATGAATTTAAAACTAATTCACTGATATAATATGAGGCATCTGATGATGTTTCTTCCTCCAAAGAAGATTCACTGGATTGGAGAGCTTTAGAATCAGGGGATTCCTTAATCCAAATTCAAGGTTTTAGATTTTCTTGACCTCACCAGAGTCCTCAAACTTGGCTACAGTCTACAGTCTAGGACAAGTGGTTTGTTTACACTTCACCCTTACTCCTACAGAGTAATCCTTACAGGCTCCCAGCTCTTGGTCTCCCACCTCTTCTTTTCTCCAGGCCCCAAACTTTTACTCCCTCAAGCTTCAAGCTGACAAAAGTTAACTCCACTGTAAGCTAAAAAAAAATAGTTACTATACACAAAGACATAGAAAAAGGTAACTCTTCCAGAATAGCTAATGCATCCCAGGAAAAAATATCCCAAAGTGCTGGGTTTAATTCTCAGGGGATCCCTTTCCCTTCCCAAATTTGGCTTAACAATTCTTATTATATTCCTGACTTTGATACTTTTAAGAGGTTTTAAATTGTGTGTTTTAAATTTTGTTCTCAGTTTTCCTCAATGAGAAGCTGGTCTGCTCTTACCAAAGGAGAAAACCTAATTATCTCTTCATAAGTACTATAAACTGAGAGGACAGCAGCAGAGTTTGAGGCAAAAATATCAATGGAAATAATTAAGATTCTCTTCCTTTGACACTAAAATTTAAAAAATACCAAAGAGATTCCTATAATTTTTTGGTATATAACTTTAAATTTTCTTTTAACCAAAGGTCAATTTTAATGTATATAAACTAAACACTGTCAAAATTTAGTTTTCCATTCTGATATATCTTTATTTGTGACTGATATAAACGTCTAAAAGAGTAATAACAGCCAATACTTTTTACATAATTTTAGCAGACAGAAATAAAATTAAGTTAGAGAAAGTCATTACTAACACTTGACCTCTTCCAACTCTTTTTTTTTTAACTTTATGTATTTTTTTCATGTGGTGCTAAAGATGCCTCACACGTGCCAGACAAGTGCTCTACCACTGAGCCACAACCCCACACATGATCCAACTCTTCCAGAGTTAGATTTGAAGATAAAAGTTTGAAGAAGTACCATAAAGCATGTGACAGGAAGTCACTGAAACAAAGAAGAATCAAGGTAAAATAGAGGACTAGAAGTTCTACTGTTATAAAATTCAAATCCCATCTTCTACTATTGCTACTGTTACAGCCTTGTGGTAATAATCTTCAATGTTATTACATTATGATCTGCCTCCATTCATCTCAGTCATATGGTGAATAATCTCAATGCTGTTCTTTTCCTTATTTTAATTTTCACTAAAACTACAATAAATGAAATTAAGGGGTTAAGCCTATCTTCTCAGTTTTGCATACAAGTAGGGTAAATTTACCTGATATATATGTTTTTCTCATGGAACAATCTATATTTGCCAGTTCTCCAAGGGAAAAAAAATCATAAACACCTGGAAATAAATAAACTGAAAACACCCTCTTATTAATAGAACTCTATAAAATGACTAATAATTAGGCATAATTTGATAACAAAGGTGCCTGAAAATAAGAAAATCAGATTGAACCATCAAGGTCACAGAACTGTACTGTCAAGAATATCACTCAGCATGCCATAATGTTTTCTCACTTCTCTCCCCTACTAGTTATGATTTTATGATGACATCACTGTACTTCATAGGTTGTAGCAAGAAGGATTTGCTTGGCCTTTCTTCCATGACTCAGCTTCTTAATTTAGAAGCCCAGGTGGCTTCATGCACACAAATATCCTTTCTCAGATGCAATGCCCTCTTTCCTTTTCATTATATATTTTAATACAAGCTTTTATTTTGTGTCTTTCTCCTTAAATCAGAAAAAGTATTTTTATCATGACTTAAAAGATATCATTACAAAAAATAGTATCTCCATATAATTTCTTCTATCCAGCAAGCCATGTTCATTTTGTGTGAGCATATTCCCCATGTAAAACCAGAAGTTTTATTTTCCAAATAAGAATTTTAAGTTAAATCAATTCTCTAGGACCATAGCTAGCAAATACGATGCTATTCTAGGACCCCAAAAGAAAGCAACTGTACATCAGCTGTACATCAGGTTCTAGAGAACTTTGGTTTGCAATTTTTTTTTTTTTTTTTTTTTTTTTTTTTTGGTGCTGGGGATTGAACTCAGGGGCACTCAGCCACTGAGTCACATCCCCAGCCAAGTTTTACATTTTATTTAGAGACAGGGTTTCACTGAGTTGCTTACACCTCACCATTGCTGAGGCTGGCTTTGAACTCACAATTCTCCTGCCTTCAAATGCCAAACCACTGGGATTACAGGTGTGCACCACCGTACCCAGCTTTGGTTTGGATTTAAACAATAATTTATACAATTCCACACATAGAAAAAAAAAATCAGTGTTGTATTTTCTTAACACTCAACTTAAAGCTTCAGATGTAATAAGCTGAATGGAGGAAATCGTGGTCAAATGTTAAGAATATAATCATGAAAATAAATCTCCATTGTAAAAAATAATTTAATTACAAATTAGCCAGAAAATTGCATAGTTCCAAACAAACTTTCTATATAAAAACAAGGGCTTATTTACCACTACTTTTTTTATTTATCTTTCAGTTTATGTTCCATCTACTGAACCGAGCCTTCCCTGGCAAAGATTAGAATATATAGGTTTTTTTATGTTTCATATTCCCTAAAACAGAACTGGCTTTTGTTTCTGAAATTACTACAATTTTGCTGTGAAGAGAAACTTTAAAATTGTTCTCTTACAACTATTTCAGTTAGCCATTCCCCAAATTTGATGCAAAAACAACAACAAAAAACACTTTACTTAAAAGATTCGTGTCGTTCATTTCATTTTACTAGTCCAAGTACAAATTCAGAGAAAATCTTCTTAAGTCCTGCGATTTCAAATTCCTTTTGTAACTCATCCAATGCTGAATACTCTTTGACTTCAAATGCCAGAAACCTGCATTATACAAGAGAAACTCATGAATATGCCTAGATTTGTCAGAGTATAATTATCGATTCAGTTGCTTTTCCATCTGCAATAGTACTAAATTATACCTTTTGTGTTCCGTCTGTACTTTTGTTTCAAACAGTACACTAATCATTTTCTCTTTGCATTTCTTTCCACTTGAGTCCACATCTACTTTGGAGGTTTTCTGAAGAATCAGGTACTCCTAAATGATAAATCAGTATGTTACATACATATCTTACTCTGAATCTCAAAATCCTAGCTTTAAAGGAGCCATAAACCTGCAGGTTTATTATCATGCTAAAAGAGTACGTTCTGAATCAAGCAGCAAGATAGCTACACGATGTTTTTACACACAGGGTAGAATAATGTTCTGTTGAATGCAGAAGTAAAGAGTAACGTAAACAAACTATTCAAATTTCAATCTAAACTGAACTGTCTACCAGCTCTGACTCTAGGCTGAGTATTTAAATTCTCTGTGCCTTAGTTAACCTCCTCCATAAAATAGGACTAATAACAGGATCTACCTCCTAGGGAAGCTGTGACAATTAAATCAGATAACACAAAGTGCTTATACCTGGCATATACTTAAGAGCACAAGTAACTGCTATTATTACTACTAATCCAGCATCCTAATGGAATATCAGACACACAGCACTTGCCATTCCAAATTGGTGGCATCTATAAACATACCTGCACATTCTCAATACTGGCAATAAAATTTTAACACAAAAATTCACATAGAATGACATTTTAGAGATAACTAAAAAAAATAGTAAAGTAACACTTCCCTGCATTAACAGAGTTCTAGTTGTATGAATAAATACTTGTTAATTAATGATTCAATCTGAGTAACATCTGTAAAATAGCTGCATTTATCCTAATATGTCTTAGCTGGCTTAAAGAATAATCAAAGCCTTTGGGGGAAATTTGAGCAAGGAACAGATTTGTATTCATTTCTGTCAATTTGTATTTCACCCAAAAGGATCAAAGTTTGTAAATATACTACAAATCACCTCAGAATATGATTTCCTGGTCAGGCCCCAATCCAGGATATATATTAAATTTAAATTATTGTTTTACTTAATATAATCCAGCAAAAATCTAGTTAACTAAATGCCAACGGACTTTTGTGATAACAGCCCATCTTGAAAAAAAGAAGTCATTATTCTGCAAGTCTTTAAGATTACAGGCTGTTCACGCTAAATCTGTTTTAAATAAATTCTAGTACAATTACTCCTGACCATTGAAAGTATAAAACTATCTGAAAGTATAAAACTTACTAAGTGATTCGTAGCTCTTTTAAGATTTAAAATATAATAAGCAGTTTTCCTTGTCTGGTTCCTTATAAAACGGGTTAGAGGAGTTTAGAATAAGAACTTTAAAAATCTGAAGATGATGGTTTTGAAAGCAGATGCTGAGACGAGTCAGGTGGAAAGCAGAAGTGAGGTGGGAGGTGACAGGCTGACAGTCCTAATGATTCTACTTCTACCAACACTAAATCTTGGTTATAAGGGACAAGCCTCTCTTTCCAGGTATTACAGATACAAAATTAAAGTGTCAGAATGTATTTTTAACTGCCAGCAAGTTACAGTTTGCAGAATACCCACAAAATTACACTTTGCTGTGCATAACTACAGGAGGAAATATTAATATGCACAAACTTTTAGTGCACATTTATAAAGTTGAGGCCCATGGCTAATTATAAAAACAAACATATGTGCCACAGGAATTTTTTATAACCTGTCATTTTCATTAAGTGGCATGATTTTTAAAATATAATCTTAACTTATTCTTTTGAGCTCTGCAAGTTTGTAGTTGCCATTAAGAGTTAGACACTCCTAAAAAAAAGGAAAATGAAGATCCATTAATGTTGTAATAGAGAAAGCACAAGCATCTTAATGATTAATCTACCCCATTGTTATAAAACGCACTTAAAGACACACCATTTGAAACAGAAAATAATCAGATTCATGTTTAACATTTAACTTTTTGGCACCTTGATGTTGTTTCTTTCTCCTTGTAGTAAAATCAGTATTATTTTACCCAAGAACATCAATCTTCCTGTCAGACTTAAATCTGAAGCCCACTTCTCCACGGTTTTGATATATTTAGTCCTTGCTCTCATGTGATCTAAATGTAAAAGAGTAATCCACAGTCCATCATCCACAGTTGTACTCATTGAAAAAGTACACTTTTCACTGCCATTTCCAGTTTCTGGTTGATTGAGGATATGTCTGAGATTCTGCTGAATCCAAAGAACCAGTTCATGAACCATAGGTTCCGACAAAAGCTTCTCTGCTTGCTCAAGTAGTTTCTCTTGTATAGTCACACACTGGGCTCTGGTCAGATGTTTTGAGTTAATGGAGATACCAGGCAGACACAAAGGGTAACTGACCGGTAAATGGAACACCAACTCTAAGGATATATCCGCATTCAAAAGTCCTTCAGCTTTTGTGTGAATTCTGAAAATGGTTCCATCTGTCTCTGGAAGGCATCCAAGAATAATCATTAGCTGTGCATAACTGAATTTGAATGGAATACTAACAAGTTAAATTTTTGCTTCAAATGTTGATTTATTTTTCATGGGAAAACACTGAGCTATTTTCTTAAGAGACACATAATACTAAGAAAGTCATGATTTCCTCCAACCACACACATACACTCATGTATTCATGCATACCAGCACTCTGAACTTACCTGGAACTTATACAATCACCCATGTTTAATAAGTTACCAAAAAAGTTTTTTTTGTAGTCAGGCCTAATTTATAATTCTGAAAATCACTAATAAACTCATGAACTTTCAAAGAAACAGTACCAAGTATATATAAAATCAGTAATTTAATACAAAGTATATACTAAATCCACTGAAGGTCATTTTGTGGTTGAGTCACCCTGGAATCCTGTATGGTGTCAGGGTTATAGAGAAACCAGTGACTATGTGTGACACTGTAGCTGCCTGGAACCACTCTTTTCTTATTTCATATGTATTAGAAGCAGAATAACATGAAGGTAGCAAGATGAACTGAAATTGAGTGGGCATCAATTCAACCTCTTCTGGCTCCTGAAGAAGGGAGGGGGTAAGCACACATAGGATATGAGATAAAATATTCCGTTCTCTTTCAGATTTGCTCGGCTTCACCCCTCTGATATGTTCCACACCACTTCACCCCACTTTTCAAAAAGCTGATAAACGTCAGGCTGATTCATTTTGCAGGGGGCAGAAGCGCACAGATCAGAAGAGCAGAGAACAGAACAAGGTGCAAATGAATCTCTTTGAGGGGAACTTGCCTCGGTACCTACTTCTTTGTCCATATGCCCTTGTTTTATTCTTCTTCACAAGGGAAACAGTCAAATCTTTCTCATTTTCATACCTGGGTTGCTGCTTAACAGCCTCAACAACTGAAACCTGAATCTATCCCCATTTTAAAGAACCTAACAGAACATTAAAATTGCTTCCTAGCCATCTGATTCCATGTGTATAAAAGCTGTTGTTACAGACACTGATTCATATAGGACCAAGTACATCTGTTTCACAGAGTTTTTCTTTAATAGATGTCAGTACCAGCTGCAAAGAACGACTATTTTAGAACATCACCCAGAAACACAGGCAGTAACCATTATAAAGACCATATTCACAATTTAAATTTGTATGACATAAGTAAAATGAGTACTAAAGAAAAAATTTTCCTAAACCTAACAGGGTAAATTCCTCTAAAATCTATCATATTTCTCTAAACTCTTCTTTCTTTCATTGAGTTACTTACCTTTATATGCGTGTATGTGTGTGTGTGTATACACTTTATTTAATAAAGTAGGCTCCCTACACATCAGTTAGATTAATACATTTTAGTATTGGAAATGGATGTTCTAAATAGACCTGCAAAAAAACATGACACTTAGGCTGAATAAACTCGAGGAACCATCTAGGGAGTCCACATTCTCTCTCAATAGGGAGATATAATTTCTGAAGATTTTCATTCATTCATCATTTAACAAAAATTCACTGAGCACCTATCAAGCTCTAGGCACCGTCCTGGTCTCCAAGGAAAAAATGATGGCCAAGACTCAGATCCTACCACAACCTAGTGCTTCAGAACATAAAAGAGTGTACCTATCCAAAGTGACCCTTCTGGACTCCTCTTCTACACCTAAAAAAGTCTCTACTTATAAAATACACATACACCTATAATTTATACACACATCATTGTGTGTGTGTGTGTGTGTGTGTGTGTGTGTGTGTGTGTGAGAATCAGGAGATAATTCTCCATTGTCTGTCATCTTCAAATGTCTTCTAAGCAAAAGGCATTGCTATCATTGCATAACAGCCTTGGAAACTAAAGAGTATTTCCCTCCTGATCAGAAGGTAGATTTGTTTAGTGACCAATACAACAAAGATTATGTAGTCTTTCAGGACAAAGGTTGGACAAAATTGTTAAAAATCCCTTTTAAGATTGGAGGATTTTTTAAAATTGATTTTTAACTGATAGGTAAAAAATAATGAATTGTACATATTTATGGGGTAACATGTGATATTTGTGATTGGTGTACATATTGTGTATGTAATGTTTAAACCAGGGTAAACATCTATCTCCTCAAGAATGGAGACTTCCTAAGCAAAGATCCATGTGTGTACATGTTCACCTGAGCCCACCTCATATGACCCTGGACATGGGGACAAACCTCCATGCCACCTGCTGTGCAGTGAGCAATGCTAACTCCATGTGGGTCATTGCCTCCCTACCAGCTGAACCATGGCAGTGCGCTCCTGACCCAACTCTACAGATGTTGCTGCTTCTTACAAACTGTTTCACCACTACATAATGTATATTTTTTCCCGTCACCATCCCGCTCTCTCATTTTTACTTTTCTCCCTTCCACAAGAAACCTACTATCTCTAAGACACTGTTCCAATAATTGTCACTTCTTATGCTTGATGTTCCAATCATTGTCACTTCTTATGCTTGAATTTTCTAACCCTCCCTCTGTTTCCTTCCTCCTGCTTACAAAATAGTGATCTTTTCCTTGCTTCACAAAAAAAACAAAAAATTCGATGCTACTAATTCCTTTAATCTACAGACCTTTCTCTATCCCTTCTTAGTCTTTGTAAAATATAATTCTCACCAATTGCATCCATTTTCCCACAAACCAGTCTTTCTATAACTACTTGCACTATGATTTCCAACATCACTTATCCCTGAAGCTCCATTCTTAAACATTACTGATGCCCTTCTAATTGCTACTGTGCATTAACTGGCCTGAGTTGCTCAAACCCTGTATATTCCTAAGGTCTGTCTTTAAGATTGGCCCATGGCTAGCCCTAAAGCCATGAATTCCCAGTCCTTGTAATATTCTGCCTGATCAGAGTTCTTTGTATATGCCTGAGGCCTTAGGCCACTTGGTCCCAGTTTGATTAAATGGATTATGCTACTAATGTGATTTATGGTAACTCTTCTTGCTCTAGAGGCTGGAGTGTGAGTAGCTGAAGTCAGTCACACAGGTGCTACATGCCTACATGATTGAGCCCAGTAAAAACTATGGACATCAGGGCTCAAGGGAGCTTTTCTGGTTGGCAACATTTGTCATGTATTTCACATTATTACTTTGACAATTTCACATATCTGTGTGATTCCACTGGAAGAGGACACCTGGAAGCTTGCTTCTGGTTTATCTTGGGCTTCATTCCACTCACCTTTTCTCTATGCTGGTTTTAGTCTGTATCTTTTTGCGTAATAAACTGCAACCCTGAGTGAAACAGTATTTCTGAGTTCTGCAGGTCCTTCTTGCAAATCATGAAATCTGAAGGTGATCTGGGGACCCTGACATAGATACACTTTATAGCCTTTATTGTACTCTACCCTTCTGCAGGATCTGAACCTCTGTATTGCTCTTCTAAAACTCTGTCTTCCCTTACCTCCCAGACACCTCTAGTCATGTCTTCACTGCTTTGTCTTCTTTTCCTAAATTCCTAAATGCACAGACATTCTGTAAAGCATAATTCCACAAAATGGTCTTTTTCCAGCTATCCAGGCTTGGAATCTTAAATTCACCATTAGTTCTTTTGCCCTGTTCCTTGTTTCATACTTAACATTTAACTGCCAAACTCTCATCACAAGTTCTTCCTAATTTCTCTCTCTCCATTTACATTACCACCCTCCTACTTCAGGCCTTTCTCTGGTTTCTGCAACACTGGTCTTCTCAACTCCTGCCTCACCCTACACAAAATTACCAGTCTGTACCAGTCTGACAAACAAATTTCAAATTCCTCCACCCAACACCAAGGGCCAGCCTGCCACTCTAAATTCCTCTCCTTACTTCTTACTTCAACTACCCATTTTATGCAATAATTTGAACATAGTCTCTGGCTTCCCAATCTTTCAAAAAGACCCCTTACTTTGTGGTCTACTAGAATCTTGTCAACCTCCACAGCACCTAACACTCACCATATGAGGTCCATGGTACTTTGAATTTGTCATGGTATTTGACCCTGATCATTGTGGTTGAACCAACTTAACATTTTCACCACCACTAAAATATCTCAGTTTTCTTTTTAAACAATTACTATGGAGAAAAGGTGGTAATGAGGATTTTTAAATTTTTATAGTTAGTTATATGCTTGGAATTATGTTAGTAGCTTATAATCATGAATCTCACAGGTATAAAATCCTTGGTATCTGTGACAGGCTACATAACAGACCCAAAGATGTGTGCATTCTATTCCCCAGAACATGTGAATGTGTTACCTTAAAAGTAAAATGGTCTTTGAAGATGTGATTAAATTAAAGATCCTGAAATGGAGAATTACCATGGATTATTCACTTATGACCCTAAATGATCACAAGTGTCCTTATAATGGTAAAGTGGAGGAATATTTTATCACAGAAGAAGGCAATGCATGCACAGAAGCATGATACTATGCAGCAGGATTTGAAGGTGGATGAAGGGGCCATAAGCCAAGGGACACAAAGAACACAGCTCTAAAACCTGGGAAAGGTAGGGAAACAGATTCCCCTGCAACAATTTGATTTCAGCCCAGTGGAAATGATCTTGAATTCATGACCAATTAATTTAATTTTAATTAAAAATTTAAATATATAAACTATTTTTGGTTATTTGTTACAGCAGTCATAGAAAATTAACATAATATCTGTGGCCTTCAAGGCAAGCTTTTCCCTTTTCTGAGCAAAATACAAAAGCCCAGAGTATTCTCCAACCTCTGCCATATAAATAAACACCTGTCCCTGCACAGTGCATGAACTGCCAGTCCCAGACAGCCCAGGGAAACAGGCTTGAAAGGATATTGAGCCAACCATGTAAGTCCTTACCAGTTTTAATTTTTCTGTTATTTTCTGGTCCTAGTCAGCAAAGATAATGGCAATGGGGGGAAAACCCTGACTTCATACAAATTATGGAACTATTATTTATAATGCATATGTTCAGAAGAAAAACAATTTTAATTCCTGTAGGAGTTGGAAAATTTTAACATTCTTCCAAATTGGTCTTCTTGGTTAATCTCTCCCCCACATACACACAGTAGCTGCAAAGTTAACCACACAACATGATGTTATCTCTATAAGAAAATGAAAATCCCAATAATACATTTCATTCTGCTTATATTTAATGTGGTAATAAAATTATATAATCTTTTAAAAACTCAATTTCTCCTAAAAAGCCTAGAATTATATATCTTACCCTTTCATTTCTCATCTGCCTTTGTTTATACAAGCAACTAAATGTGCTCCTTTTTCTCCTGAATTTTTCACATATCACATGCACTGTAGTCTTAATTTTTAAAAAACGTTTCCTAATAAAAGAAAACAAGGTTGTCCCCTATTTGCTTTAAGATTATTAAAAGTTTAGGAATTGCTAAACACTCTTGGTTAACAGAAAACTAATTGTGCTCTACATCTAATGTTAATCTCTTCCCCTCCCTGGATCCCCAAAACTCATTATAACTCACAAATATTGTTCTCAATAAACATCTATACCCTAAAGAACTTATGCTTGCCCTACCAAACTAATTTTCACAAGTTCAAAGGTTATTTTCATCCATTCTCAAAACTCTACCCAAAGATATAGGTCTTGCCTTCTGGTTGAAGTTCATATAAATATTTGCTAGTTGTTTTTTGTAAGTCACTCTGTCTTATAATAAATATATCAACTTTTTAACTAAAATACAAACTGAAATGTTTTAAATTTTAACCTTCCTTACAAATACATGAAAGAAATTATGCTCTAAACCAGAGAATTCCAAACTAGAGAAACAGAACTGAACCCTAATTCCACACTAAAGCTATTTTTAAGGTTTCTCTCTACTTCATAGGTGTATAACACACAGCAGAAACTCAATGAATACAGTCTAATCACAGAAGACACTTAAGAAAACGAGTTCTTCAGACTCACTTACAGCCCATTAAGAAATCATTTACATATCATATGTAGCTGATGTTTCCTATACTTGCTGTTGTTATATTATTGTTTGTTGTTGTTGTTTGCAATTTTTATATTACCTCAGAGTAAGACTTTGTGTAGAAAACCACTAAGAACTCTCCAGCACCTTCTCATTTCATGTGACAAGTTTTTCTTTCCTCTTACTACCAGGCAGCTAATTACAAGTAGGCATACATAAATGACTGTCTTATGCTTCTGCTGGATTTCACATATGTTTAAAATATGATTACAAAAGACTAAAAAACTAAAAAGAAATGAAGGTAAAAGGGGCATCCCATTCTTTAGAAGTGAAGTTCAAGGCTGAATTGCTTTTACAGAGTGAGTTCAGTTCCGACAATCAGCAGGAAACAGCTGAGCAATTTTGAGAGGGGTCAGTAAGTGACAGTCATGATTCATTTTGCAAGACAGTTGAATCCAATTCGAACATTACCATTAACAAAATATAAAAATACACTCTGAAGCTATTGTGCAAATATTGGGTTTATGTACTTCCCATTTTACAACTTTATGATCTGTGAGATGGCTTTCAAAAATGCAACTCATATGTGTAATGAGCATTGACTATAGCAATATAATCTATGTGAACCCATCAGGAAAACGAAGATATATAACAATGCCACTTACCTATCTCAGGTGCCTGCGCACATGCATGCACACATACTCCCCTTCCTCACTGTTCTAAACATAGGTTGGATCCCATCCATGCCTTTTCTCTGAGTGCTTATTTGTGCCCTCTCTTTCTGAACAAGTGTTTCTTTGCTCCCCAAGAACAGTTTTCCTGACACAGCAGCCCCATCTCTACCAGGGATCATGAGGCCATGTGAAGGTTTATACACTGTGAAGCCTGGTGGTTATTTAACCAGTCTAAGCATAGTTCTCTTCTCTGCAAATAAGGCTAAGAGTGCTTCTCATCAAGTAAGATGCATTGAAACTATCAGAACGATAGTAGGTGGCCACATTAAACATGGTATCTGGGCTGTCTACACTGCACAGGGAGGGACAGAATCTCTCTGATTTGGCCTACTCATATCCCTCTCCCATAGCTAGGAGTGTGGAGTTGTTAGAACTCATGCCTCCTTACTATGGGCTTATGTAACCACTGTAGAGGCAAAAATGTAGATAGATCCTCTAAATTCTTAGCATAAATTAACCTAGCTAAACAGAATCCAATTATTCAGCCTCTTCAACCTTAAGCCTTAACAGCTGACCCCCTACAATGCTCTCCTGACCCCACTGACAACAGTTTATTTGTGGGAGGCCAGGAATTGATGGGATTCAGACTGTTACATCCTCCAACCCAAACTGACAAGTAGCACTGACAGCAGAGCCTGCTGCATGTTTACTGTAGTCTGTTAAAGAAGTACTTACCTTACCCTTACCTCCCAGTTATGAGCATCCAACATTCCTATTTCAACTACTGAATTGTTCCACCCTCCAATGAACCTTTCAGCAACAAAATGTCCTAAGTTGTTACACTGAATTCTTTTATAATTCAATTACTTATTGATGCCAGAACACTGAATTAAATTAATTAGGAGGCATGGCTTCAAAGTCATGCTCAATTTAACAGCAGATAAAGGGTCCACAGTGTTCTCAGTACTAGGAAACTGTTTGCTTTCTTTAAGCACTTACTTTTGGGGGTTTTTCTCTGTCCTGCCAGCAGTGTTTAATGCTCAATGGATTCATACTGCAGACCACTACCACATATTTAAGGTATGATGGGACATCACAGGTTCATTTTTCAGATATTCCCACCTGAGCCATAATAAAGGAATTTGGAATAACTAATGATCTCTGCAAATAGCTGCCTCAGGCAGAAGTAATTATTAATAGAGGGAGATGAAGAATTAGAAATGCCACTCAATCAGAAGAGGGGTGACAAGACAACACTACAAGGGAATAAATCCATTCATATATGGATTTTAAAGAGTTGCTTCAAAAAGATATAAGACAGATTTAGGAACTAAAAAGAAGGCAGCTCTAATAGTTTCATAGTATCTGGAATATAACAATGCTCCATGAATGTGTTACAGATGGGCAGATGCAAGAAGGAATAAATAGAAGGGAGCAAACTTCCACCCTGTGGATGAATAACACATCCCAGAAAAATGTAAAAACCATCTTAACCCTAGATTTCTCATATACTTGAGAAACATATTTTACCTGCTTAAAGGTCAACCAATTTATGGTCAAGAAGTCAATTTCAATAACTGTTACACTATAACATTAGAAGGATAGACCCTATGCACCTAAAACGGTACATATTTTAAAGTTAAATAAAAATTGACAATTATCTGCATCACCATACTTTCATGGAAATGGCAGGGTTTTTTGTGGTCTTTTTTTTGTTTGTTTGTTTTGTTCTGTTTTTCTTACTTAATAGAAGCTAAGTCAGAAATGGAGTGAGTTTTGCTATTATTAAAAAAACAAACAAAAAAAAAAAAACAGTAGGGCTGGGACTGCAGCTCAGTGGCAGAGTGCTTGCCTAGCATGTGTGAGGCACTGGGTTGGATCCCCAGCACCACATAAACATAAACGAATAAAATAAAGGCATTCTGTCCATCTACAACTACAAAAAAATATATATATTTTTTTTAAAAAGATTTGCAGACTGTAAGCTCCTATGGGGCAGAATGGTGCCCTGTTGATGTCTGCAAGGAGCAGGGAAATAAATGTGGGCTGAATGATTAAGGCACTCCCCAAAGCCTGTAACTAGCAACCACTTTCAGCTGACAAGAAAAAGTATGCGAAAAGCAACCAATTCAGAAATATAAGAATAAGGTTACAGGGGCTGGGGTTGTGGCTCAGTGGTAGAGCGCTCGCCTGACATGTATGAGGCACTGGGTTCCATCCTCAGCACCACATAAATGTAAAATAAAGATACTGTGTCCACCTAAAACTAAAAAATAAGTATTAAAAAAAAAAAAGGATAAGGTTAGGGCTTAGCACTGGGGAAATTCAAAAGTCATTCAACAAACATTTCTTGACTACCTACCATATGTTGGGTAACGTTCTAGCTGCTCTGAGGTTCAAGCTTACCAGACAGGGTCTCTGCTCCTGTTCAACTTATGACAACCAAATACCGACCTAGTGTTAAGCTGTGGTGAGTGCGGTATAATGCATAGGATTCATGAAGGAAATGGATTAAGGGAAACGAGGGAGATGGATTTCGGGGGGGGGGGGGGGGGGGAAAACAGGCGTCTTTCTAAGAGGACAAGGACATGTGGACGGCCTGCCAGGAAGAGCGTGGGCAGCGACCTCCAGGCTAGGCCCCAGCTGGAGGACGTCAGGAGGTCTGGATGCCCAGCGTGTGGGACAGGACGCACGGGGGCGCCCGCAGCGGCGCGTCCCAAGGCTGCGCCACCCCATTCACGTTTTGGGGGGAGGTCGCCTCACACGCCAGCCTGCTCCCACACAACCGCAGTCGCCGGGTGCGTGTCACTCCATCCTTCAGATAACCCGGTTCCCAACTGAGGACCCGGGCGGGGTGCCCAGACCCCCGGGGGGGAAGGACAGGGCCGCGGCCCCAGTCTGAGGGCGCTCGTCCCTCGGGCGCAGGGGTAGTCACCTGAGCGGCTCAGCACCTCCCACTCATGGGGCCCGCAGTAAATCGCGGCCAGGGCCAGGAGCTCCTCCCGCACAGGATCCGCCATGTCCACGCGGCCTGCGAACTCGGTACCTTCCCTTCCGCCAACGCGGACTCGGTGGGGAGCAACGCGGCGGCGCGGCCACCTGGGGGCGCCCCGCCTCCGCAGCCGGCCGGGAAAGCTCCGCCCACAAGCCTCTGCCCCGGGACTCCCCAGGGCGGCTCGCCTAGGCTTTGGGGAGTTTTTCGGAGGCCAAGGTCCCACACCAGGGTTTCTGCCAGAGATGACTGCCCAGCCCACTTGATGCTTTCCTGGCCGACGAGCCCCAGGTCCTCTAGCTTTAGCCTCAGGCTCTGAACACACCATCCCTCTCTTTGAGCTGCTGAGATTGGGATGCACAGTGTCAAACATAACTTTGTAAAAAGAGAAAAGAAAACAAACTGGCAAGAAAAGGTTAGCCCTTTGCACTAAGTGTCCGGCTCTTGAACCGTTTCAAAGATATAGTAGTGAACAAAACACATGAAATTCTACATTTTCCTGGAGCTGTTAGTGACCCAGGCAGTCTGGAAATCCCGGGAAAGGGCCAAGTTAGTGACAACCTCTAGGATGCCCAAATGACACTGGCAGTGAGACTCTGGGCAAGGCCCAGTTTCTGGGACCTCTTTTGCTTAAAAGGTGCAGAAGGGGAGAACGGAACCTCCCCACCTGGCACTTTATGGGGAACTATGCCCAAAGTTCTGGGAGCACAGTCGTAGTGTTTTCCTTTTGTCTTCTACCTTCAGAGAACAGTCCTGCTGAAAGGTCAGTGGGACTCCTTGGCCTTCAGAGGGATGATCCAAGCGTGTAAACACTAGCAAATGCTAGCTTTTCAGTGGTATTATTTTACAAGTAAAACAATATGGATCTTACCAATGCGACTCTTGGAGCTTAAAGATGAAATGGTCATCCTTGCATCCTGTATCTGAATTTTAAAATTCGAGCAATACCATTAGCATAGCTGAAATAACAGTACATTCTTTTTAAACTTTGATTTTAATGAACCAGGTTACAAGGCTCTTCTGTAGCAGTCCTGTCTCCGTGCATTTGTCTTATATTTTTGTGGTGTTGTTGTTGTTGTTTCAAGTAACAGTTTAAGATTTTGCAGCCCCTCAAAACAGCTGGACTTGCTCAAAGAGGGCCCACGACTTTTGTTTGTATCAGAAATAACATTTTATGAGATAAATGGGAACCTAGGTGACTGCATAGCGACTACTGCAGTTACTATTGACCAAGAGAAGTCAACATAAATTTGCTTTACTCTAAGACTCAGAATCGATATTTCCATCATCATTATTATCGTCATCATCATCATCATCATCATCTCCATCTTTGCTAAAAACGGGATTTGAAAAAGTAAAGATAGAGCTTTTCAAGAACAGGAAGGAAATCTAACAAAAAGGGAAATGTTTTTCAGAAGATGTCATGGGATTTCAGTGACCCCACATAATTAGGAGCCCTGCTGTGCACATAATTGGAAAGACAAAGGTTTATTTAAACTCATAATTATCTCTGATGTGGCCAATTTGTTTTAAAGAAAAAAAGAAGTAAAGACTCCTTTGAGTTATTTCCAAAGTAGCAGTAGGTTCATAATTAGCTGCTAAAGAGGTTGGTGAACAAAAGAATAAATTTCTAGTTTAAAATATCACTGAGTTATTTGATTTTAGCTTGAAGTTCATTGTTACTATTAAAAGTGGCAGGAAAATATTAATTTAATTATTTGACTTATATATTAAAGATAAGCTACAAAATAATTGAGTGGTTCTTATTTTTAATTTTACAGATTCAACATAATTGATATGAGTGGAATACTATGAGCAGCATGATTTCAGCTGTCAGAAGTATTTGGAGGCAGTTGCTGAAGCCTCTTGTCAGCAGGGGGTCCATGGAAATTGATGTTAAGAGTACAGCAATCTATTACTGTATTTAAAATTTTCTAGTCAATAGGTTTCCTCTTTGCTCTTCCTTTCTCCATTGATTTCTTAACCTGCTTTTCATACTTCATTTAGCATGTTTAAATAAAAAAAAAAGAAGTCAATGTGAATGTCTTTTAAACTGACACTATCCTAAGGCACTGAAGTCCCATGAATAAGTTTCTGTACTTGACATTTAGAAGTAATCATCACAGAGACAGCATAATGTCAGTTTGATATTTCTCACACTATGAAAATATCAGCTACATGTCAAATCTCTAAGTCTACCTTAATGTAATAATTTTTCTTGTATTCACAGGCTACTGAAAATTCTAAACATTTAAATGTGGAATGAATGTCTACACTTATTATTATCTATTCCTGTCTGTATTTGTGTTACACAAACACACACACACACAAAAAAAAAAAAACAGTGTATGATTTGCTAGAATAATATTATTTTTTCATGCAATTTTTCTAGATAGTCATTTCCCCAGAACCATCACGGGAAGGAATTTAAAACTTCTCACTACCGGCTGAAACCACTAACCCAAGAGGTAGTATTTTAACTATTTTGGGACAACAGTTATATTCACTTTCTCCTGAATAGTATAGAGACTTTAACACTCCACTCAAAGTCTAACATATTAAGTCCAAGCCCACTTGGATATAGAAATGAGGATACATGATTTTAAGAGTATCAAAGAGATTAAGTATTAGTATCATGTGGAAGAAGCTTAGGACCCTAAATGGAGTAGGCTATGGTAAGGAAAATTTTCATACAAGAAAAGTAAAAATATGAGAACTACTAAAAATAGAATACAAAAGAGACATTAAATGCCTATTTCCTAAATACACCTGAACTCTGAGAAACTGTGCTACCATTTTTACTAGTTCTGTCTAAATGATTCCTGTATTTACTCATTTTACTAAGTGTTCTTGGGCACTCAATGACTGTTGACCTAGTTCTGTGAGCTGGGTGTTGAGATAAAGAGATGAAAGCAACAAGTTATTACGTTCAAGGACTTTAATCTTTCATCTAGATTTTAAAAATGCAGCAATTACAAGTTATTTTGCCAAGTTTAGGGCACAAGAACTGCCAATTTATCAGTATGAAGTTCAATGTCATGAACTAAGTGAAAGCAGTGGAATGAGGAACAGCATGTTCTCCCATACTTCCTAAAGGAAATATAATTTTGTAATATTCCAGAACAATTTCCAAAAATAAACAAAGACAGTATTGCTAATTGGTGTTAGTTCTTTTGTAATAGAGTATACAAGTTGCAAATTTATTTTTCACCATGATGTCAAAGTAAAAGCAAATTAATTCCATAAGAATTTGACACTGACTACTGTGATCATACCATTTTGTGGAAGAATCTGCCTCTACTATATCTAAGTAATCTGTACTTGCTCCAAAGTATTATTTGCTTTCTTCCCGTGTTTGATTCTTACACATGAGGAGTATCAAAACAGTCCTAGCTGGTTTTGTAGGGAATCATACACGTGACCAAGGTCCACGTTTCATTGCTTATAAAACAAAGTCTTATCATTCATGTTTTAGAGTTTGTCTAGTTAAAATAATGCCCAATACTTAATTTTGGTTACTACAGTAAGTGGATTCATTTTACTAATTATATTTTCCTACTGAATATTACTAATGTAGCCAGTATTTATTAATCTGAGGTAGAGTTGAGGATTTTTTTTTTTAAACTGAGGATTGAACACAAGGACACTTAACTACTGAGTCACATCCTCAGTCCCTTTTTGGTTTTTGTTTTGAGACAGAGTCTTGCTAAGTTGTTCAGAGCCTCACTAAATTGTGGAAGCTGGCCTCAAACTTACAATCCTCCTGTCTCAACCTCCCTAACTGCTGGGATTACAGGTGTGTGCCACCAGACAGGCAGGACTGAGTGACATTTTAAAGATCCTTTACTCCAAATCATAAAGGGCCTACAAATGAGTAGGCACTGCCCTTTTAGCAAGATATATTCTCAGTGGTTGAAAATGGAGACATATATATATTTCAAAGAACTACAGCTATAGTTAGAAAATTTAAAAAAAAATAATTTCCTAAAAAGAGGAAAAGAAAATAGTAGGAGGAGGGAAGAAGATAGGAAGGAGAAGAAAAAGAGAGGAAAGGATGAAGAAAAGAGGGAAGGGTGAAAAGTATGGGGAATATTAGAAAAAGGATGATCTCTGAGGCAAAGGAAATCACGAGTTAGGAATCCGTTATAAGATCTAGAAGAAATAAAGAGGATGGAGTCACCTGCTGCTCAAACAAAAGAGGTCTGGGCAGCGAAGAAAACAAGAGCATGAAAAGAAAACCTACAAAATGAGAGAAAATCTTCATTGGTTGTTCCTCCCAACAGGGGATTAATATATGTGAGAGTGTGTGTGTGTGTGTGTGTGTGTGCGTGTGTTTATATATGTTTATATATATGTATGTATGTGAGTGTGTGTGTGTGTGTGTGTGTGTTTGTATCGTTTTAGTGAACTTTTTCGCCACGGCTACTAAAAAACCCGACCAGCGTAATTATAGAGGAGGAAAAGTTTATTTGGGAGCTCACAGTTTCAAACGTTCAATCCATAGATAGCAGATTCCATTCCTTGAGGCTCAAGGTGAAGCTGAACATTATGGCAGAAGAGTGTGGCAGAGGGAAGCAGCTCACCTGATGATCAGAAAACAGAGAAAGAATTCACTCACCAGTGGGGGGGGGAAAAAAAAAATATATATATATATATATATATATATATATATATATATCCCCAATGCTTCACCTCCTCCAGCCACACCTCACCACTCAATTAATTCCATCAAGTGCTTAATTCACTAATTTGGCTAAGGCTTTCATAACCCAATTATCTATCCCTTCTGAACCCTCTCACATTGTCTCACACTTGATCTTTTTGGACAATTTCTCCACATCCTAACCATAGCATGCATATATATACATGTTGGAATATATAAAGAACTCAAAAAACACATAACACCAAAAAAAAATCAATAAATTGGCAAAACAACAAACAGACATTTGTCAAAAGAAGAAATACTAATGGACAACAAATATATGAAAAACATGATCAGCCAAATTATATTGTTAGATTGTGTACATGTACAAATATGTAATAACAAATCCCACCATAATACACAAGTATAATGCACAAATAAAAAATATTAAACATTCCTAGAAATCA